GTCGTAGTCGTGGAGTTGTTAAGCGGATATAACTCCTCCCTGAAGCGGAGTTAAATCCGAGTCGATCCGGCTTCGGATATGATAAGCCCATCTCTAATATATATATATATATATATATATATATATATATATATATATATATATATATATATATATGAGTAAGTTCTTCAAGGGCATACATCAAATAAAAGGCAAAGATTTAGAAGTTAATCTTTAATTTTTCACCCACTAGTTTGGAACGCACATCAAATATTGTTTATAAATTAAAATGCAATGATTGTGATTCCATTTACATAGGTGAAACTGGACAAAATTTAATAAAACGACTAAAACAACATGATAATAACTCTAAAAACCCACGACAAAATCAAACCATGATAACAGAACATATAAAAAATTTTAAACATTCTTTTGACTTTTATAACGCTAGTATACTTTATCACGAACGGAACATTATTCAGAGAAGATTTGCTGAATCTTGTCTAATCAGCATTTCCAAATTTTGTGTTAATAAACGCCATGATGCCTCCTTACTCTGTGAAAATTATCAGGTGATACTTAATAATATTTCCAAATTTGTTTCCTCTTAACCTACGTAATTCCGAACCTGTAAACCTACCCTTACGCGGTCCGATCCCGAACTTTGATTCTTAGCCTCTCACCCATACTTCGAAACACTGATTGTAAAAAACCCGCCAACTATTCCTTCAAACGGTCTCTTCAAATAATTTTTAAACACATGTTACTACAGCCTCGGGCTCTGTCATATAAACTACGTTCTCTGTGCAAAATATATTATATATTTCACAAATATTTTGCTATGCTCTGTTCAACAAAATAATATAAAAAAACAAGTTAATGTATATATGATAGTGCAAAATTATGTTCCTTGCGCTAGCTACTGATGTAAGACCATATTTATGTAGGTTACCTTCATTGTCTATATATGTGTATGTGTCTGTATTGCATATGTATGTATATGTATATATATATATATATATATATATATATGTGTGTATGTATGTATATATGTATATGTGTATGTATATGTATGTATATATGTGTATATATGTCCGTATGTATATGTTTATATACATATACGTATTATTCGTATGTATATATGCATATGTGTACGTGTTTGTACATGTATATCATATATACATGTTTGTTTGTGTGTATATTTATGTATATATATTACGCTTTTGTATGTTTGTATATATTTCTTTTTACTTTTCATTTCTCTTGTTTATCTATCTGTTAAGTATAATTGTTATTGTTATAATTATATGACTTATATCTATAGTTCTTATTCCAATTTCTGTCATTTTTTCCTAGTTTATATTAAATTTTCAATATTCATTCTGTAGATCCACTGATGATGACATAAAATACTATGTCGAAACGTTTGGAAAAATTAAAGATTAACTTCTAAATCTTTGCCTTTTATTTGATGTATGCCCTTGAAGAACTTACTCATATTTCTCAACATCAAAACTAACTTCTTTAACATATATATATATATATATATATATATATCTTATATATAAAATTCTTCTGTAACAATGTAAGTTTCATATTTCCTCCTAAACTATAATTCGGATTTTCATGAATCTTCCTGAAGTTTGTTCGGGAAATTTTTTAGAATGTTTTGATTCATAGATTGTTAGTTAGATTGTAGAAATAAATGGAAAAAATTACAAAAAACCGCTTATCATTGTTTGACCTTTAAAATATTTTGGGCATTGCAATTGTCATCTGTCAAAAATTTCGCTTCACTCATGACATTATATTAGAACATGTATTTAAATTCATGATTATGAATAAAAATTATGAATATTATTGCCGAAAAGCAGCTGAGATGTGACAGAAATTAAATAAAGTATCTTTTTTCGAGATACAATTATATATTTCAGTTTAACAGATGTTGAAATACAAATGTATTTAAAAATTTTCTTTGAAGGTTATGATTTATGTTTAATTAAAAGCAGATCAAAAATTGCAAAGGATATTATTACGGAAATTCAACTAAAGTATGTCTATATGTAAAAAATTTACACGTTAACCAAATGTAGAGATATATCAAAAACAGATAGCAAGTTTTGCAACAGAAATACATTAATGTTTCTAATATGCAGCTAAATTTGACTATATATGTGACAACAAACATAATATCAATCATTTAACATATTGGAAGCAATTAATTAGTACCCAAAAGCTTGCATAATAAACTGTATAGTATCTAATATAGTAAAAAATACAATATTGTGGAACATACATACATATTTGATTTTTTAATACAGTAATATTGTATTCTTTTCAATACATAATATTATTATGACAAAACATATTTTACTATTTAATTAAATTTAGTACAATCGCACAAGCATACATGTCAACAATAATCAATTTAAACATAATCAAAAGGTCTTGATACAAAAGCATCATTTTGTTTCAAACCTGGTGTCTTTCTTTCCAATGTGTAGAACTCAATCTGATAATACCTCCTACAAACCATGTCTTTTCTGCATAGACTCCTATTTAATGTCTCGAAGCACTATTTCAAATGATTGGTATGACAATGCTATTCAATTACTGTATGCTTAACAATTCACTCACTTTTTATCGTCTCACACAATGAATGTATATAAGCAATCTCAGCCCACTACGCTCAAACATTTATTAAATAAGGAATAAAATCAACCATATTCGACGTCTCAATAATATCTTTTTCTGTTTATACATACTGAAATGTGTCATCGAGTCTCTTTTTCTTCAAGCACTATTACAAATGATTGGTATGACAATGCTATTCAATTACTGTATGCTTAACAATTCACTCACTTTTTATCCTCTCACACAATGAATGTATATAAGCAATCTCAGCCCACTACGCTCAAACATTTATTAAATAAGGAATAAAATCAACCATATTCGACGTCTCAATAATATCCTTTTCTGTTTAGACATACTGAAATGTATCATCGAGTCCCAAATTATACAACTATGCAGCATGTTATTATAAAGTGACAAATCAGATTATCATCTCTTTCTTCTAGATAATGCAGCTGCCTGAATTTTTTGTTATGGTATATCAAATGTATGCTCAATTTTAATGTTTTCCATTACAATTTTTATGGATTTGTGTAAATATACCCAAATTGAATATTTTTTATGATATCATTAAGTTGTTCTTAGCGAGTAGACAGTTTCCCATAGTTGGGTAAAATGCCACATCTGGCAACATGTACAGAAGCAGGAAATCCAATACATACATTGATAATTTTTTTATCATGACGAACTGCTTGAATCTGATACTAAACAAGATTTATAAAATACATGAAAATATAAAAACACATATAGAACTAGATATAGAACATTACTGCATTTTAATAGAATAATATCCTCTTTGATTCATATATGATTTTTAATATCTTGCTGATTTAACTATTCGAATGTAGCAGCCATCGGGTAAACCAATCATATTTGTAAAGTCATTTTGGCAATGCCTAATTTCTCATTATTGTCTGGCCATTTTATGAATTTTAGAGACATATTTCACAGAAAAAATTCTTGGCACTATTACATGCAGAGTACTATAACTTATATCAAAGCGATCACTAAAATCTCTATAGCTGTCAGTTTGATGTCCCACAAACCTATGAAAATATTAGTACCTAAAATTATAATTAATGGTGATTTGTTTTGACAATTAATGGTGATTTGTTTTGGTTAAGCAATAAAATTCATTTATTTTCCTGATGCAGATAGGCTCATATTTTACTAAACTGTTGCGTCATATTTATTTCTATTTTAATATTCACCGTGTTCGTATGTTTGTGATATCTTGCACTTAGCTAGAGATGTTCTGCCAATTCTAAAGTCTTCCAGAAATTGTATCTATTCATACAATGGCTCCATTTTTTCTGTCAAAATCACATTATAGTTTTACATAAATTGATTATAAATAAAATTGTGCTTGACGAATTAAGTACTTATTATTAAAACTTTGTTATTAATAAATGATGGTATTTTACATACCAAGACATTCTTTTTTTTCAACTTTAACAAACTGTAACAAATGTAACTGATGGTAATCGTTCTTAAAAAAAATCATGAAACAATTCTTTGCCACTCATTATGTTTTATTTATTATACTCAATGTTTAATTGAATATTATAGAAAGTTAGTCATTAAATATTGACTGCTTTGACTCAAGATCAACAACTTAAACTAACCATACGAATCTTATTAACTGGACTATGCAGTCGAGCATAGGTAAAGAAAATCACAATCAGTTTGAGAATTGAGAGGAAGCCTATGATATATTCATATACTCTTTTATCTATGGATATATTCATTTAGAGATATGACAGTTGAAGAAATATCAATTTACTTATAATTCGAATTTAAATGTTGATAACACTTACATATCACGATATTTATACAAACATTAACCTATAAATCTGAAAAAAAAGAATAAGATAAATATAATGAATATGAAATATAATGAATTAAATGTATTATAATGAATGTTGATGTCAACGCGTTCAGCGTTCTTTGGTAAAAATCATGTCCATATTGTGCTCTATTTTGTGTTAATATTTCTAAGAAAAAAATATATAGCCATGTACAACTAGATTTTTTTTAAAACTAAATATTATAAAATTATCAAAGCGAGTTAGTTCGATAGATGTCTCTGCGCCCGCTAAGAGTGTCTTATCCCTGTTAACTTGATAGGATGTGGCTAAGTACGGAAAAGTAGAGTCCAGGAGAGTCTATGCTATCTTGATTAATTGGCGATAAATATAATTTGTTTTTGGTGTGTAATGTGAAAATAATAGTTTAAGAAAGTGGCTTAATAAGAATCAGTTATAATACAGTATTAGTGGAAGATATTGGTATTCTTCAGTTATAGTTTTAGTACAATTTGAGAGTGAGATTAAGTGATTCACATTATCCAGCGGGTTATAATATTTAGGATTTTCTTTTATCGTGCCACGATGCCACGAATTCGCAGAGGGGCAAGTAATTTTGGAAGACGTACTCGGCAAGCTCGAGCGATCTATGAACGAAGATTGAATAGGACCCATGAACAACATATGATGGACAATATGAATTTGAGAGAGCAAGTAGCAAATACACGTGCCAATGAAAGTTTAGAGAGACGTACTCAACGACTGACAGATATGGCATTAAGAAATCGAGAGGTGCAAGGAAGTGCGACCGCCGCCATTAGAGAAAATAATCAACGACGAGTTAATAATCACAGAGCACTGGTACGTGCATCACTTTTGCGCCTGGCGTTTAATTATGATCCTGAAATTGATTATTCATCACACTCTTTAATTACCATTGGTAATATGGACAAAGTATGTAAACATTGCCATGCTCTAAAATTCAAAGGAGAATCAGCAGGTTTATGTTGCGCATCAGGGAAAATTATATTGACAAAATTAACAACACCACCGGAACCTTTAAAAACTCTACTAGATGGAACAACGTCTCAATCAAAAATATTACTGAAAAAAATTCGCAAATTCAATTCATGTTTTCAGATGACGTCTTTTGGTGCTACGAAAGTATTTGAAAATGAAGATGGTCGAAATTTCGAATCAACATTTAAGATACAAGGTCAAGTTTACCACCAAATCGGTTCATTGTTTCCCATGCCTGATGTGAATCCGAAATTCTTACAGATTTATTTTATGGGCGATGATGAACGACAAACAAACATGCGATGCGAATTTAATCACATACAGCTTATGAAGGAAAGAGATATTGTAAACTCTTTGGAAATATTTTTTTAAAAACCATAACCAGTTGTTGCATTTGTTTAAGACTCTTTCAAGTAGACTAGAAAACGATGATTACGCTATTATTATTAGAGCAGACAAAGTGCCGGTTGGAGAACATGCTGGCGCATATAATGTTCCAACAGTCAATGAAGTCGCGGTCGTAATAGCTGGTGATCTATGTGAGGGGCGTGATATACGTATACAACGGAGAGATAATACCATGCAGATAATACAGGACAGTCATCGTTCTTATGATGCTTTGCAGTATCCATTGATATTTTGGAAAGGTGAAGATGGGTACCATTTGAATATTAAACAAAGGGATCCAAATACAGGTAAAAATCTTATTTTTATAAAAAAAATTCAAATAATAATAATTAAAATAATTTTATTATATTTTATTCCAGGTGCAGAACTTGCCAAAAAGTAAGTGCCATGGACTTTTACTGCTACCGATTAATGATTCGAGCTAATGAAGAAAATAACATCCTTAAATGCAGACAGCTATTCCATCAGTTCGTGGTCGACATGTATGTGAAAATTGAGAGTGAGAGATTGAGATTCATAAAGTTTAATCAAGCCAAACTCCGCGCTGAGGAATACATACATTTGCGTGATGCAGTACTTGGTAATGTAGATGCAATGAATGATATTAGTCATATTGGTACTGCATATATTCTTCCATCTTCTTATATTGGAAGTCCGCGACATATGCAGGAGTACATTCAAGATGCTATGGCTTATGTTCGTGCATATGGCAGACCTGATCTGTTCATTACCTTTACGTGCAACCCCAAATGGGATGAAATAAAAAAATTGCTGATGCCGGGACAAACAACGATGGATAGGCATGATATAACTGCACGAGTTTTTAAACAGAAGTTGAAATCATTGATGAATTTGATAACGCATCATTCTGTTTTTGGTGAAACACGCTGTTGGTTATACTCAGTAGAATGGCAGAAAAGAGGTTTACCCCATGCACATATTTTGTTGTGGTTAATTGATAAGGTACGTTCTGTAGAGATTGACAATATTATCTCAGCAGAAATTCCTGATAAAAATGTTGATGAGGAATTGTTCGATATTATAACTACTAACATGATACATGGTCCATGCGGTACTCTCACCATTATGTCACCATGCATGGTGAATGGAAAATGTACAAAACATTTTCCAAAATCATTTCAAAACGATACTATCACCGACATTGATGGTTACCCCGCTTATCGGCGACGTGACGTTGACAATGGTGGACAATGTTTTGAATTGCGACTGTCGAATGGCGGGGTAATAGATGTTGATAATCGATGGGTAGTTCCTTATTCGCCTTTGCTATGCAAAACCTATAAAGCACATATAAATGTCGAACTATGCAGCTCGGTGAAGTCAATAAAATACATATGCAAATATGTTCATAAAGGGAGCGACAAAGCGATATTTGCAATTAAAAGTATTAATGAGAATGATGAAATAACCCGATATCAAATGGGTAGATACGTCAGTAGCAATGAAGCTATTTGGCGTATTTTTTTTTCCCATACACGAAAGGAATCCATCTGTGGTACATTTGGCTGTGCATTTGGAGAACGGTCAGCGGGTATACTTCACAGAAAACAATATATTACAACAAGCTTTGACTGCTCCGAAGACCACTCTAACTGCATTTTTTAAACTTTGTAATAGATCAGATATTGCTGGAAGATTTGCTAGAACATTATTATATACAGATATACCTAAATATTTTACATGGGATAAAAAATTAAAAGATTGGGTACCTAGAAACGAGGTATTCCTGTTTTAGGATTCGAAGGCATATATATGACAAACAATTTGGGTAGATTGTATACTGTTCATCCTAAGCAACGAGAATGCTTTTATTTACGTTTGTTGTTGATTAATGTTATAGGACCAAGATCATTCCAAAATTTGAGGACAGTCAATGGAATTTTATATGAAACTTTTTATGATGCGTGCCGTGAGTTGCACTTATTGGAGAATGATAATCAATGGGACATGACTCTTGCAGATGCAGCACTGATTTCATCTGCACATCAAATTCGACAATTATTTGCAATAATATTAACAACATGTTTTCCATCAGATGCATCTGCACTATGGAATACACATAAAGACCCAATGAGTGAGGATATTTTGCATCGGTATAAAATTAATAATCAAGATAATAATCATGAATTTTCTGAACAAATATATAACGAAGCCTTAATAATGATTGAAGATATTTGTATCCAAATTACGAACATGTCGTTAATTCAATTTGGCATATCAGCACCGAGCCGAGCAGCAGTAGATATCATGAACAGCGATGTTCAACGTGAACACCAGTTTGATAAAACTGCTTTAGCTACTTTTGTTGCTAATAATGAAATATTGCTTACTGCCGAGCAACAAAGTGTATATGATCAAATCAATACGTCAATTGAGGCACAGCAGGGCGGATTCTTTTTTTTGGACGCACCCGGAGGCACTGGCAAAACATTTATTATTTCACTGATTCTTGCGCGTGTGCGGTCACAAAATAATATTGCGTTGGCAATAGCTTCATCAGGAATTGCAGCGACATTACTTGAAGGAGGACGAACTGCGCATTCGGCATTCAAGTTACCTTTAAATGTTCATGTTAATCCAGAAGCAATGTGCAACATAAAGAAGAAATCAGGAATGGCGAAAGTTTTGCGAAAATGTAAAATAATCATCTGGGATGAATGTACTATGGCGCACAAACATTCGCTTGAAGCTCTTGATAGGTCACTGAAAGATATCAAAAATAATAATTGTCTTTTTGGTGGCTGCCTATTGCTACTGTCTGGCGATTTCAGACAGACATTGCCCATTATTCCACGAGCGACGCGTGCTGATGAAATAAATGCCTGCTTAAAAAAGTCTTATCTGTGGCGCCACGTGAAGAAATTATATCTCAGGGTTAACATTCGTGTTCAATGTCTAAATGATGCACTGGGGTCAAAATTTGCACAACAATTATTGGATATTGGTAATGGCAGAATTGATTTTTATGAAAATACAGAGTACATTCAATTCCCTGATAATTTTTGTAATATGGTTGATAGCAAAGCCAAACTTATAGAAAATATTTTTCCAAATTTAAAGGATAATCATAAAGATCATAAGTGGCTACAAGAACGAGCAATTTTAGCAGCAACGAATTTGGATGTAGACGAAATGAATTTAAAAATACAACAGATACTGCCAGGATATGAATTCACATTTAAATCAGTTGATACTGTTATTGATCCTGATGAAATCGTCAATTATCCAGTCGAATTTTTAAATTCTCTTGATTTACCAGGAATGCCGCCGCACAAATTACTATTGAAAGTTGGTTCTCCAATTATATTATTAAGAAATTTAAATGCCCCAAAATTATGCAATGGCACAAGATTAGCAATAACAAAAATTATGGGAAACATTATAGAGGCAATTATTCTGGGTGGAAAATTCAAAGATGATGTTGTTCTTCTGCCTAGAATACCACTAATTCCTTCGGATTCAGTAATACCTTTTAAAGACTGCAGTTTCCTATAAGATTGGCATATGCTATGACCATAAACAAGTCACAAGGGCAGACAATGAACTTTTGTGGTATAAATTTAGAAAATCCGTGCTTTAATCACGGACAACTATATGTTGCTTGCTCAAGAGTAAGAAACCCAAATAATTTATATATTTATACACCAAATAATCTCACCAAGAATATTGTATATCCTTTGGCATTACAATAAACTCTACTACATTAAAGTTTAAAATAAAAAAAGAATTATATACTATATTAAGATTAATTATATAATGAATATTAATTATAATAACATTAATTATTGGAATTGCATTCCTGAATATAATATCGTTAAATTGTTCATTTGAAAATAAATATAACTATTGTATTAATTGAATTTATTTATAGATAATTTTTAAAAAAAGTTGAATGATATTGAAAAGTTAAATACTTTTTTAATATAGACATATGTGTACAGGACAACGTCTGTCGGGTCAGCTAGTATATATATATATACTGAGAGATATAATTATTGGTTCTATTCTTAATATGTAAAAACAAACACTTTTAAGATTTATTGATTTTATTTTAAATTGTAGCTTACATTATTGGGTGTTGATATTTTAATCTGTACTTGTTGGCGGTTCCAACATAACTAACTCCCGCTCAATAATAATCAATTTTTACCTGTTTCTACTCTTATTGTCGGATAAGGGCCGCTTTATAAAAGTTTATATAAATGGTACCAACATTCAAAATAAAATTACAAACATATTTTAATGAAAATGTGATAAACATAAAATATTATAACAAATTCATAATAGTTCTTAACACCTCCCTTGCAAGAATAAAGCCGTCCTCGGCGTATTATACAAAGAAAAATTAATTTTACCACTTTAGAATACAAAATACTTATTGAAATATTAAAATATTATAACATTTACAATAATATAACGGTTACATATCAAAGATTTACATATCAAAAATTTTTATATAAATAATTTATGAAATTAAAACTTAGCATTACTATTTACACTTATTATATAATATGATTATTATTATTGATGCACTTATCCTATGATTACTGTATTGATTTCCCGAAGGAGGAGTTTCATCAAAAAATCCGTCTCGCTAATTTGGAAAAAGTATGTGTCTGTGCTTGTGTGAACAGATTTTTTGCCGAAAATCGACGTTTTCTCCAAAACGACTGGACCGATTTCAAAAATTTAAAAGCCATTCCATGTATCTCGATGAGGACTCGCGTTTCTATCGTTTTGTACAATGATCGGCCAGGGCGTTTCTTTGTAAATCGCAGAAAAGTGAAAAAAAATTTGTCCACGTTAAGCCCGCAATTCTGAATCGATTTTGAAAATTCAAAAACTGTACGATAGATATTGGGAATCGTGCTAATTAGTTTTTGGTAAAGATCGGCCCGGCCGTTTTCTTGTAATAAAGTTTAAAAAAAATAATTTCGACGATTCTTATAATTTTTTCTTGTAGATCATACTAAAACATTACGTTTAATTTTAAAAATCTTTAGTCTGCAAAAATTAGTATAGTTTTTTTGGCATTTGTCAAAATTAAACCTTTGATCGACATTTTCTTAAAAACGCCTGAACCGATTTCAGAAATTTAAAAGCCATTTGATGTATCTCAATGAGGACTATCGTTTGTCAGTTTTGTGAGACGATCTGCCAAACCGTTTCTTTGTAATTTAAAAAAAGTGTTAAACTTTTTGTCCACATTCAAGCTCAAACTACCGAATCGATTTTAAAAAACAAAACTGTTCGAAAGATATTAGTTGGGAATGATATTGATTAGTTTTAGGTGAAAATCTACCGTGCAGTTTTCTTGTAATTAACTGTTGAAAAAAAAATTTAAGCCGATTTTTATGGAACTTTTTTTGGCGATATATAGAATAGTCTTATAGAACTCACTAAAAGATTACGGCCTTACGAGAAGTAGTTTAACTTTAAAAATTTGTCAAAATTTGAAAAAATGAGTAGTTTTATTTGACGTTCGTTAAAATTAAACATAACTAACTCCCATAATTAGACGATTTACTTGGTATACGATAGAGTACTTGATCTTAATAATAAAATTAATAAATCATTAAAGTCCTACGGAAACTGGTTCAAATACAAAAATGGTTGAATTTTGAAAATTTGCTTTTAGAAAATACTCAGCGTTAACGTGTTAGTTCGTTTTCAAATATGTGTAATAAATCCACTCGGAATACTTTTAATCACTCATAAATTAATTTATTTTTTATTGATTAAGTCGATTATTTAAACATATCGGGAAGTTCACGTAACTTGCCCCAAGGCTAAATACCAAACCAACTAGTTTATTTTATTTTTTGACTTGATAAAGATTGCGAAAATCAGGGGTCTTTTAATCATTTTCTGTAAATTCTTTCAGTTTATTATTATGGACTTGTACCGGCTTATTATGAACTAAAATTGTACTATTAATATTATCGGATTTTAGAATTTGGAAAGACCCTTTCCATAATGGTCGAAGTTTTTTTACATGTCCGCGGATATGGAGTTTTTTAGAAGAACAAAATCATCAACTTCGAAAGTTGTGGAAATATATTTTGATCATAATGTGATTTAGTTTGTTCCTTACTATGTATTAAATTTTCACGAGCAAGTTTATTAGCATGTAGCAATCTGGATTTCAATTCATGAACATAATTGTCGTAATTATATTGATAATTGCTGGATTTTGTTAAAGACAAATAGTGCAGTAAACGGAGAGGAAAAAAGTGTATAACCTCTGAATTTTTTTACTGTGTTCCGAATTAGGTTCATCTTAACCTCAAGTTCAAAAGTGAAAACAATTCGGGTTCCGCCACCACCTTACAATAAAATTGTTTTCAACCCCGTGAAAACCCTAAAACCCTTCAAACAACCTCTAAGTTGAAAAAAAAAACACTTGAAAATAAATTTCGGTATGATATAATAAGAATTACGTATATAGTAAATAATATTTTATGTTTTCTATCTTGATTATCAAATTTTTAACCCTTTTAGACCCTTAAAAACAACACTTTGATGAAAAATTGTTAAAAAAAATTATTTTAAAATTGATTGAAAATTTAGAAATTCAAAATGTTTGTTTTCATCAAAAAATTTGATCCGCTAATTTTATGTTTTCTCGAGGTTTCAAGCCATTCAGAATCGAATGAGACCAAAGTATGTGTGTGTGTGTATGTGTGAGTATGTATGTATTAGGGTTTGTCGGTTTTCAAAAACCGTTTTTTGGGCCAAAAATTATGGAATTCGGAAACCGTTTTTTTAGCGAAAAAAGTCGGTTTTTACTGTATATGTAGAAAATGACAAATATAACCAAATATAAAATATAGATGAAAGCGTTTTGATTCTTGAAATCATATCGGTTCAATAGCATATCATATCTTATCAGTCTGCAATGGTTCCCAGAAAGGCTTTGTATATATATTTAGATTTTTATACCAGTGTATATATTAATTTAAATCAGTGTGACTTCTTCTTGAAGAAGTAACTTCCTCTACTCTAACTTAAAAAAAGAGTTTTAAACTCTAGAAGCCACAAAGAACAAAAAACTTAAAATTATTATCAGGCTTTATAAACAATTAAGCATAATTTGGTCGCAAGTATGAGAGTATTTTCTATTTCAGGAAATTTTGTGAGTAAACAAAGGACACGTGTAAGCAGCAATTCGATAGACGTTCTCAGTTTACTGAAATCATATTTTTTTTAACAAAAAAAAACTATTAGAATGTTTAAAATTAATTAATTAAAATTGCGCGGAACAGACAATACCCGAGTTTAGCTTAATTGTTTTTAAAACTATAATTGATATTAACAAGTATGTATCGACATATATCTAATATTTTTTTATTTTATTTAATTCAATGTTTTTTTTTATTTAAAAATGTAATATTTTTATTTATTCGAAAATTATCCTTTCACTATCATAAAAATATTTTCATTCTTATATGTGAAAATGATGCATGAATAACGAATAATTATTTTCAGAGTTATTTAATCATGATAAACTATTATTTTTTAGTTCTACTAATTAAAATTAAAATAATTTTGTATACCATCTATAAAATTGAACAATGAATAAATTCAGTCAAATACTGCTCTAAATTACACTAAATTTGCGGATAAATTACAGAATATTCGAGCAAAAATTTATTTACCTGTTTTATAGTAAAATTAAAATTCGATAACCGGTTTTCTGAAATGTCGTTTTTTGTATAAACCCTAGTGTGTATGTATGTGTGTGTGTGAAACAGATTTTATCCGTAAATCGTCGTTTCTCGTGCAGCGATCGGCCAAGCCGTTTCTTTGTAAATAGCAGAAAAGTGAAAAAATGTTCGTCCACGTTTTAGCTCGCAATTCTGAACGATTTTGAAAATTCAAAAACCATTCGAAAGATATTGGTTGGCAATCGTGCTGATTAGTTTTTGGTATACATCGGCCGGCCGCTTTCTTGTAATAAAGTGTTAAAACAATTTTTTTTGACGATTTTCATGTTTTTTTTTGACGGTAGATCCATAGTATTATAGATCATACTAATATTACGGCCTTACGACAAGTCATTTCATTTTGAAAATCCTTCAAAGTTTGCAAAAATTACTGTCGTTTTTTCGGCATTTGTCAAAATTAGACCTTTCATCGACGTTTTCTCGAGAACACCTGAACCGATTTCAGAAATTTAAAAGCCATTTGATGTATCTCGATGAGGATTATAGTTTGGCAGTTTTGTGCGACGATCGGCTGAGCCGTTTCTTTGTAATTTGAAAAAAAGTGTTAAACTTTTCGTCCACATTTAAGCTCATACTACCGAATCAATTTTAAAAAATCAAAAACTGTTCGAAAGATATTAGTTGGGAATGATACTGATCCTTGTATATAATAGTTGAACAATTTTTTTAAGCCGATTCTTATGACTTTTTTTTGATGATATATATCATGGTCTTACAGAACTTATTGAAATATTACGGCCTTACGACAAGTAGTTTTTTTTTTTTTTTTTTATTTATTTATTTTGGCTTCTGATTTGCATCATTTTGCCATTACAAGTATTTATACAGTTGTAGCAGTTTATATAATACATTGATAGTTATACAATAATGATTATGCTATAAATTAATTTTGCATTTACTTATAAATTATATAAATATTTATAAATCCTTATGTCATTACTTGAAATAAGCATCTGTATATTGATGGGAAAAACAATCCTCACGTTTTGCAAATTCCTAACTAATTTCGATCTTTCCTGCTGATAATGCCTGCATTCCCAAAATAAATGGTCGAGTGTTTCTATGCTTCCACAGTCACACTTTGGATCCTGTATGATACCAATTCTCTTCAGATGCGATTTGCAGTAGGAGTGTCCGAGTCTCAATCTGCAGATTACTGTAATAAAATTTCGACTTTCTTCTATATTTTTAAACCATGTGTTTGGTGAAACAATCTCTCTCGTTAGTGCGTATGTGGATCCTTTTGTCTTTGTTGTTTCTGAGTGAGACTTCTGCCATAGTTCCAAACCTTGTTGTTTTATTAAATGTTTTAAATCTAGCGCAGGAGTTTTCGCAAATTGATCGCCGCTCGTGCATGCTTCTTTGGCTAGACTGTCTGCCATCTCATTGCCTTTTATATTAGAATGACCCTTTATCCAAAGAAGAATCATGGATTTATCATCAGTATTGATTTTCTTTATGATTTCTATAATTTTATATATTATTATGTTTGAATGTTTATTGGCGTGTTTTATGGCTGTTAGACTTGATTTGCTGTCACTTAGTATCAAAGATTTGTTAATATTATTGTCATTCACATATTTTACGGCAGTGTATATCGCTATAAGTTCCGCCGAAAATATGGATGTATAGTTTGGAAGTCTTACTTTGTTACTGTAATGGATTCTTGGGATATGTATGGCACATCCGGTTCCCTCTAATGTTTTAGAGCCATCAGTATAGATTTGCAAATAATCCGGCCAATTTGAGTTGATATGACGTTCTAAATCACGTATATATATGTCCGTGTTTGCTATATTTGTGCTCTCATCTATATCGATGTATGGTTTAATGTAATCGTTTAGCGGTGGGTAGATGTAATATGGAGTTTTATCATTGATTATGATGTTCTCTTCGTGAGGTTTAATTGTATAAAAACTATTTATTAGTGATGGAGCTGGTTTGTTTGTCCAGTAGCGTGTGGAGTAATGTAATCTTGCTAGATTTTCTAACTGTTTGGGTAATAATTTACATGATCCATTAAGTTTTTTCATCAAGAATCTGTTTGCTAGAATTTCTCTTCTTATGCTCAGAGGAGGTTCTCCTGTTTCTGTTAATAACGCATTTGTCGGTGTTGATCTAAATGCCCCTATGCATGTTCTTATTGCGGAATATTGAATTTTATCAAGTTTATTTTGTTCACTTTTTGACGTTTGACCATATATAAAGCATCCGTAATCTATTTGAGTTCTAATCAAATTTGTACAGTAAAAGACATGTCTCTGGGTGTGCTCCCCATTTAGTATTTGTTATTTTACGAAGTATATTGATGCCTGTTTCGTATTTTTTTGATAATTCTTGTATATGCTTTTTAAATGTCATTTTGGCGTCAAAGGTTATGCCTAGTATTTTCACGTTGTCTTTTATTATAACATCTTGAGTTCCAACCCTTATGTGACCTATGTTCTGAGGGAGTCTGTGTCTAGTGAAAATCGTTGCTGAGCTTTTGGTTGGTGATATATTTAAATTATTGCTTGATAACCATTTTATGTTTTCTTTAATAGCATAGTTCATTTGCGTTATACATGATTCTATTGACGGTCTTGATATGTATAAACAAATGTCGTCGGCATATTGTAATTTTTTAACACTTGTATCAGGTATCTTATGGTAATCCGCAGTATATATGTTGAATAATGTAGGGCTTAAAATGGAACCTTGTATGATCCCGTTGTATGCTGATCTAGGGCCGATCATATCTCCATTAGTTCGTAGATAAATATATCTTGGTGATATCAACTCCAATATTATTTTAATTATATTCTCTGGGATATTTATATTCCGTAGTTTTTTCTGTAGAATATTATGGTCTACGTTTTCATAGGCTTTGTCAATATCTATTGACAGTAGCAACATATATTCATTGTTTGACTTCGATATATTTATGTCGGTAGTAAGGGTACTCAATAAATCTATTGTTCCTCTTCCGCTTCTAAAACCAAATACGGTATCATGGAGTATGTTCTTATTTTCAATGTACCATTCCAGTCTTTCTTTTATCATTCGTTCGAAAATCTTTGCTACGCATGATATTAGTGATATTGGTCTATAAGAGTCTATAGATTGTGGGTTTCTATTAGGTTTAATTATTGGTACTACAATTATTTCTTTCCATTTTTCAGGAATCCAGTGGTGTGTGATCATATTATTAAATACATTTAGAGTTCCATTTTAAATTAGTTGGACTATTATTGATCATATTATATGAAATGTTATCCTTACCTGGAGCCGTGTTCTTTCTGTTTTTTAGAGCTCTTCTCAATTCATTATATTTGAAAGGTGACATCAATTCTGTTTCTTCATTATTATTCTTACTAAAACTATCTTGTTTGTTACAGACATAATCTGGTGTTATATTTTGTAATATTTGATGTCCACATTCTTCCATAAAATTTGGATTTATGTTCCTATTTGTGTTTTTGTTGTTGAATATTTGATTTTCTTCCAAATTGTAGCCGGATTTGTGTTTTTGTTAATTGAACTTGTGTATTCCGCCCATTTTTGTATTTTCTTGTTCTTTAAAATCTCTTGGTTTGTGCATTTATTTTTTGGTATAGGATAAATTATCATAATTATATTTTCTGCGCATTTGTTTAAGTGCGTTTTTTCTTGCGTTTACCATAACATCACATTCTTGATCCCACCATGCAGCTGGTTTGAAGGTTGAGCTAATTATCACTTTGAATTTCTTTATGTTTTTTTCTGCAGCATGATCTATACAATTCATTAGAAATTCATATTTTTGTTTTCCTGTATTAGGTATGTTAGAGTTTTGGAGAGTTTTTGAAATTTCTTCGCCATATCCTTTCCAATTGGCCTGATTGGTATTTCATTTTTTTGTAGGGAAGATTTTGATGTTTGAAATTGCATTTGTGTAAATATGTATTATAATTGGTAAGTGGTCAGATCCAAGAGATTCTTCAAGTATTTCCCATCTGATATAATCTGTGAAATTGCTGGAGCATAAAGATAAATCGATATTCGTCGCTTTTCTGTTTCTTGTCTCGATTGTTGTGGGTTTGCCGTTGTTGAGAATTATTAATGAATGATCTTCTATGATTTCTTGTAATTTTATTCCTGATGTGTTGTTCGCCATACTTCCCCATGCAAAGTGATGGCTGTTGAAATCTCCAACGATCAATGTTTTTAAATGGATCCCTTCTATAGTTTTCCTCACATCAGTAAATCTATTTCTTCTCTATTTGAGCAATAAATGGAAACTAAGCAAAAGGTTATATTTGTTTTAATTGTTACCGCACATATTTGTATATTCTTATTGTTGTTTATTGTTTCATATTCATCACAATCTATGTTGTTTTTGACGATGATGGCTGCTCCGCCGTATCCATCTTCTCTATCTTTCCGAAAAATCTTATACCCTTAATTTTGCATACTGCATTAGGACTGAACCATGTTTCGGAAAGGACCGCTATCGAAATCTGATTATTGTATAAGAAATGTTCTATACTTTCTTTATTTGCTTTCAATGATCTACAGTTTAATTGTAGTATTTTTAAATTCATTTTGGTTATTTATATTGTGTATTGTTTCTATTATTTTATAAAACTTCCTGTAGTTCTCTTATCCTTTTCCAATTTACTTATCACAATACTCAGTAATCTATTTATGGAAGAATCATCAGATCTATTTATTATTTTAATTTGTGTAACTAACTGTTTAAGAATTTCGAGTGGATCATTTTCTCTTTTTCTTGATTCATTTTCTTCTTGATCCGTATCATCTTCCGACGTTTTAATCGGCCTTTTCCTACTAATTATATCTCTATTACTTACCCTTTTAATATCCGTCTCTTTATTTAAATTATACTTAGATACTTTAGAGGTACCTTGACCTCCTACCCTTGTTACATTTTTGACATGTGACCTTTTTGGTTTTCTAATCCATACTATGTCTTCTTCTGTATCCTTATCTTCTTCTATTAATTTTGATAATTCGTTATATTTTTTTTATCACAGTAACTTTTTTCTAGTCCGTATTCATCCCTCTTTTTTTCTTTTATCATCGGAAAATCTTTTTCCTTATCTATGGTATAAGGGTTAAATTTAACAACTCTTGAATATTTGGTCATTTCGCAAAATATTCCTTGCTTCATGAAAAGCTATATTATGAGTCCCCATCAATTCATAAATACTTTTATGCCTTTTGAATTCAGGGCATTCAGTACTATTTGCAACGTGTTCCCCGGAGCATAAACAGCATTTTAAGTTTAAAATTTCAGTACAGGCTTCTATTCCATGTTGTTCTGAACATTTCGGACATCT